AGTGACCTTTGGTGCGGGCACAGATGGGTCCCCAGATGGCTGAAAACGAAGCAGGAGCAGCAGCTTGCGCGCCCAGGTTTGGTCCCCCCGCGACCCCCAAAAAGCCTCGCACCAAAGGTCACTCTTACCCAGGGTCCGTCTTGCGTGTAGCCGAGCTTACTAAACAGCCCTGCCCTGTTCGCTTCCTTCTTTGGGCGCGTTTTCGAAACGGCCTCGCGTGTCAGGGTGGTCATTATGGGGGTGGATTTTCTGCCCTCTATGTATGGAAGGGGTCCGGGGAACTCATGGGCAACCCGGGCCCGGCTCGAGGTGCGCAGTCTTCGCGCGTCTCCGCCGCTTGTCGGCGGCGGCATTATTCCGGCCTCGGGAGCTATGCGTTTTAGCGGCCCGTGTTCCCCGCCGGAAGAGTTAAGTCGGGCTTGTCCCTCTACAGGAGGAACATTCAAAAATAGTCAAAAAATAATATGGGGGACGTTTTTTCCGTATTTTTGATAATTTGTTTTGGCATTTTCTTGGTATTTCAAATTTTTCGCCCAAGATCCCCCTATAGAGGGACACGCCCGATTTAAGCCGAGAGCGTGGCGGCGGCGCCCGCAGCATGCCGAAGGGCCGCCGGAGATGCGAGGCGGAGCGCGGAAAAAACAAAACCTCTCCCGCGGCAGCGCGACGATGGGGGGGGAGGAGGAGGAGGAGGAGGAGGAGGAGGAGGAGGAGGAGGAGGAGGAGGAGGAGGAGGAGGAGGAGGAGGAGGGGGAGGAGGGGGAGGAGGGGGAAGGGGGAGGGGGAAGGAGGAGGAGGGGAAAGGAAAAGGGGTATCCGTCCTCGGTGGCCCCCCCGGGGCCTGGTGACAGGGGGCAGGCCTTCTCAGAGGGCGGCGGGGTTTCTCGAAAGCCCTCGCGCCTTCCGAGGGGCCGTGTCCTTTCTTTGCCTTCGGAGGAGGCTTGGGCAGCTTCCCGGGCGAGAGTCCCCATGTGACTCCAGAGAGGGCTTAGAGAAAGCTTCTGAGAACGCTGGGGACCCTCTGAGCGTTCTGAGAAGTTTTGCCCCCTTCTGCCTTCCCTCGGCGTCGCCCCAACATCCGAATACGATGTGTGCGTCGGCCCCCCATGGGCGACGCGCGCACTGAGCAATCTAATTGTACGTATGTGCGTCGTGGCGGGCGCTTTCTGGCCACACCGCTCGGGAAACGATATATTACAATATGTGTGTGTGTGCGCATATATATATATATATATATATACATGTATATATACATATATATATATATATATATATATATGGTCGATCCCCCCCCCCAGCGACCCCCCAGAGCGCCCAAAGCACGAATCCACAGAATCGTTTCGTTGAAACCCTTCGTTTTTTCACAACTCAACTTTGGCGTGCCATCCAGGCTGACAAACTCATCCGCTCGGCCCATCCGTCACGGGCACCGTGCGCGCAAGCATATCGGTTTCGGCCGAGGCCACGAAACACTGTGCATCACAGGTTTTTCTGGTTTTTCTGGTCTGGGAACCAACGAAACACTGTGTATCACAGGTTGTTATGTTTATTTCTGGCTTCTGGAGCTGAAATGCTCGCCGCGGCCTCGCCCCACCGCCCACCCCCTCCTGTTTCTCGGCGCGTGAAAACCAGAAAAACAAGAAAAACCTGTGATACACAGTGTTTCGTTGGTTCCCAGACCAGAAAAACCAGAACAACCTGTGATGCACAATGTTTCGTGGCCTCCGAGCAAGAAAACACTGTGTACTCTTTGGGGACTACAGCGCTCGCCGCTCACTGGCAGTGCTCCTTGAGAAAGGCCTCCTCCAGCATCTTCCCTGTTGCCAGCCACAAATCCTCGCCCCTGTGCCAGTACAACCACTGGTAGGAACGGATATTGTTGGTCAGCGCCTTGGTGTCCACTGTCTTCTTATTCCCTAAGTGTTTCCGCAGCTCGCCCCAGATGCGGCCGATGATCTGGGTGCCAGCTTTAACCCAAACGCGCTTGGTCTTGCTGGGCTTGCTGTCATCTGGAACATCTTGGTGGGTGATCTTGGTGAACTTAGGATTGATCCACATCCACTTACCCTTGACCATGACGCGCTTCTTGGCGTGGACAACCCAATCATGCTTGACCCCTTCGAGCTTCAACTTATAACTCCTGGCCCCGTCCGTGTGCAGTATGATGTTGCGCTTGTGGACCCACTTGTAGGCCAGAGGCTTCCAATCGCGCTTGCGGATCGGGCCTGGGCCTGGCGCCCGCCTCTTTGTCTTCGCTGGGTCCAGCTTGAACAAGACGAGGGATTTCTGGTCGCTGCGCTGAACCATGCTGCCCCATTGCTCCCAGATGACAGGCTTGTCAGTCGCAGCCCTCCCTGATTGGAAGGGCGTCACGTGCCCCTATTGCGGGGAAGGCACTCTTGGCCCTCTGAAGCACTACGCCGATTCGAATGGAGGGTGGGCCTACCGCTGTAACAGCAAGGAGTGCAAGCGCCGCGTGCTCCCGCGCGCTTTCCACCCCATCTTCAAGTGCGGTACGGGGCAGTCGCACGTGAGCTTGGCAGATCAAGCTTCTGTGCTCTTCTGCTCGATTGCGAAATGCTCGCAGACTTCCGTGCGTTTTCTTTTGCAGAAGAATCATAAGTTCACGCAGAGCATCTACGAGTCCTTGCACGCGGCGCGCGCCAAGAGCGTGGTCCAGCACGAGAAGAACATCAAGTTCGGCGCCGACTTGCCTTGGGCGGACGTAGAGGCCGACGAAGTGGACATCGCCAAAGGAGAAGACCCCAACACAGACGCTGCGACTGACAAGCCTGTCATCTGGGAGCAACGGGGCGGCATGGTTCAGCGCGGCGACCAGAAATGCCTCGTCTTGTTCAAGCTGGACCCAGCGAAGACAAAGAGGCGGGCGCCAGGCCCAGGCCCGATCCGCAAGCGCGATTGGAAGCCTCTGGCCTACAAGTGGGCCCACAAGCGCAACATCATACTGCACGCGGACGGGGCCAGGAGTTATAAGTTGAAGCTCGAAGGGGTCAAGCATGATTGGGTTGTCCACGCCAAGAAGCGCGTCGTGGTCAAGGGTAAGTGGATGTGGATCAAGCCTAAGTTCACCAAGATCACCCACCACGATGTTCCAGATGACAGCAAGCTCAACAAGACCAAGCGCGTTAGCTGGCGCCCAGATCATCGACCGCATCTGGGGCGAGCTGCGGAAACACTTAGGGAATAAGAAGACAGTCAGTGAACACCAAGGCGCTGACCAACAAGATCCGCTCCTACCAGTGGTCGTACTGGCACAGGGACGAGGATTTGTGGCTGGCAGCAGGGAAGATGCTGGAGGAGGCCTTTCTCAAGGAGCACTGCCAGTGAGCGGCGAGCGCTGTAGTCCCCGAAGAGTGCACAGTGTTTTCTTGCTCGGAGGCCACGAAACATTGCGCATCGCAGGTTGTTCTGGTTTTTCTGGTCTGGGAACCAACGAAACACGGTGTATCACAGGTGTTTCTTGTTTTTCTGGTTTTCAGGTGCCGACAAACAGGAGGGGGTGGGCGGCGGGGCGAGGCCGCGGCGAGCATTTCAGGTCCAGAAGCCAGAAAAACCAGAAAAAAGCAACATGTGATACACAGTGTTTTGTTGGTTCCCAGATCAGAAAAAAAACCAGAAAAACTTGTGATGCACAGTGTTTCGTGGCCTCGGCCGAAACCGACATGCTTGCGCGCACGGCGCCCGTGACGGATGGGCCGAGCGGACGAGTTTGTCAGCATGGATGGCACGCCAAAGTTGAGTTGTGAAAAAAACGAAGGGCTTCAACGAAGCGATTCTGTGGATTCGTGCTTTAGGCGCTCTAGGGGGTCGCTGGGGGGGGGGGGGGGGGGGGCAAGCATGTGTATATATATTATATATATTATATATATATATATAATATATATATATATATACATATATACACACACGCATATAGATACACACACATATATACATAAGGGCTTCGCCCCATGCCGCCGGCCCCATGTTTCGGACAATGGGGGATGCAAGAGCTAAATTATGAGGTCTGGTCGCCGCCGTGAAGCAGTGTCGGGACCTGTTTGTTTTTCGACCCTGACTTACGAATCTGCGTGAGGGGTGCCGCCGAATTTCAGAATTGTGGCAAATCCTATGGATTTTCGGACCCTGACCCCGCCGATCTGCGCGAGGGGCGCCGCCGAATTTCAGAAATGTGGCAAATCCTATTTGTTTTTGGACCCTGACCCCGACGATCTGCGTGAGGGGTGCCAGCGAATTTCAGAAATGTGGCAAGTCCCTTGTGTTTTTGGACCCTGACCCTGCCGATCTGCGCGAGAGGTGCTCGCGAATTTCAGACATGTGGCAAATCCCATGTGTTTTTGCACCCTGACCCCGCCGGTCTGCATGAGGGGTGCCACCGAATGCCAGAAATGTTGAGAATCCCTTTGGTTTTCGGACCCTGATCCCGCCGATTTGCGTGAGGGGTGTCATGAAATTTCCGAAATGTGGCAAATCCAATTTGTTTTTGGACCCTGACCCCGACGATCTGCGTGAGGGGTGCCAGCGAATTTCAGAAACGTTGCAAATCCCTTTTGTTTTTGGACCCTGGCCCCGCCGATCTGCGTGAGAGGTGCTAGCGAATTTCAGACATGTGGCAAATCCCATGTGTTTTTGCACCCTGACCCCGCCGATCTGCATGAGGGGGGACCGAATGTCAGAAAGGTGGCAAATCCCATCGGTTTTCGGACACTGACCCCGCCGATCTGCGTGATGGGTGCCATCAAATTTCAGACACGTGGCAAATCCCTTGTGTTTTTGTGCCGGATCCGCAGGAGCAGAAGTAACAACCAGGTGATGTCTTGGGGGGAGGGCGGGGAGAGAGAGTGGGCGATTAGCACGCGTGCGAATGCCGCGCCGTGGCCGTTTTGGCCTCAGGCGCGTCGCACACTTCGCCTTCAAGGGGGGGGGTTCTTCGTCTTTTCGCGAAGGTTGCGTGTGCGTCATTCTTTCGCGCGCGCCCCATGGCGCAGCCACCCAGCAGCGGTCGGGCTGGCTTCTCGAATGCCCCCTCACCGGCTGGCCCGGCGTTGCCGCAGGGACTGTTGCCGCCGCCCCTGGCCAGTGGGGGTGCCGCTGCTGGCGCAGGGGCCGAGCCGGCGCCGGCCTCCCGCAGCCCACCGGCGGCGCAGGTTGCCATGGGCAGCGCGCTGGTATCCGTGGCGGCTTCTGCGCTGAACTTCTCAGAGATGGCGCGGCGGGCCTTCGTGAGCGAGCTCGGCGGTGCCTGGGAAAGCTGCACACTCAACGACATCCTGGATTGCAAGGGGTCGGATCTGCTCAGCGCCGCTGACACTATGGAGGTGGGCGGATCGCGCCTCCGCTCCATTCCCAAGGGCGCCTTGTTGCGGCAGCTCCGCGAACTCGCAGTGACAGCGGGATTCGCTCGGCTGGGCTTGGGCGGCCTGCCCGTGGCCCTGCCGCCCTCGACCGGCATCGTCCCGGCAGGGGCGCAGACGGCCGCTCCGCAGAAGTTCACCTTCGCCAGCGCCCTGCGCAGCGGGGACTCGTCTGAGTTCTGCCTTCTCCCCGCAGCCAAGGTGCGCACGCTGAGCGCGGAGTGCAAGAAGGCGCACGGAGACCAGGTCTCGAATTCGAGGAGATCTCCGTCGAACAGTTGTCTGCCTTGGCAGCGCGCCTGGCGGACGACGCCCTGCCTCGCGCGGACTTCAGTATATTCGGGCCATTTGGCAAGAGGCTGATGAAGCTCATGGCCTGCCGCGCCAAAGTGTTCGTGAACGGTGAGCTAATCACGAAGACCGTGCAAGGACCGGGGTCATTCGAACAGTGGCGTCGGTGCTTCCGCGCCCTCCGCACCGGCTTCCTGAAGCTGGGGGTCTCCAAGCCGGGCCCGCTGGACACGTGCGAGGAGGGCTTCAGGCAGCTGGCGGAGTCCTCTCCTGGCCACTGGGGACACCTCGTGGTCATTGAGGACCACATGCGCTCGGAGCGCCGGAGCGTGGTCCGCGAGCGCATCGAGGACCAGGTGGAGCGCAACCAAGTCCAGGGCACGTGGGGCCCGCCCCGCCCTTGGGAGGCCGCGTTGGCTGCAACCGCATGCGGCCCCACCTCTGCCACCGAGGGCCAGTGGTGGTTCTTGCGGGTGGACGAGCCGTGCTTGCAGGCGCCCACTACGCGCGGCGCGGCGGCCCAGGTGGCCGCCGTCGAGGGCGCGGCCTTTGCGGAGGAGGTCGACCTCCACGCGGGCACCAACGAGCGGAAGCGCACGGCGCGGGGCGGTGGGGCGTCGCCCCCGCGCACCAAGAAGCAGAAGCAGAAGGACAAGTGGGAGGCCAAGCACGCGGCCATGCTCTCCACCGGCCGCCGGCCAGACGGTCGCCACCTGAAGGGCCCCGACGGCGCGAAGCTCTGCTACGACTGGAACCGCAGTCGCAACGGCTACTCCGCGCCCTGCCCCAACAGGAGGGCGCACCTGTGCGAGTGGTGCCTCGGGCCGCATCGCGCCTGCGATGACTCGGCGCGCCGTTCAGAGAAGCGCCCCCGGGGATGGTCGGCCCCCGCCCCGAAGGGCAAGGCCAAGGGCTCTGGCAAGGGGCCCAAGTGACCCGTCTCCACGGCGACACCTCCTGGGCCACAACAAGGGGCGGGGGCATCCTCGCCGGCGCCGGCTCCGTTCGCAGACTCGCCGCCTCAGTTTTGCCACTTCGACGCGGCCAGGCCTGGCGCAGCAGCCGCGCCATCGCAGGTGCCGCAGCGGGCAGCAGGTGCAGCAGTGAGTCTGGCATCGTCGTCTTAGCCACCTCCTTGCTCATTGCAAGCATCATCGCTATCACCTTCGCCTCCAACTCCTTCTCCCTCGCCTATTCCTACGGCGACTTTCGCAGCGATTGGGAAGGCTTTGCTACGCCGTCGACTGCGGAGTCACCTGTGTGTCCTTCGGGGCGTTCGCCCCCGGCTTGACAGGGTGAGGGGGGGGGGGACTGGCGGCAGGGTGAGGAAGGTAACTTTCCTGGAGATCTCTACCGGGGCCTCCGTTCTGTCCCGCCGCGTCAGGTCGAAGGGTGGCGCCGTTGTCACGTTGCCCGACTTCCTGGAGAGCGGCGTGGACCTCCGGCTCGACTCGCACGTGGCCGCGATCAAGTCTTGGATGGCCGGAGCGTCTGCCGAGAGCCTGAACGCGGCGGTGGTCCTGGACCCGGCCCACCGAAGCTTTTCCAGGGCGGGGGATCGATCGAAGAGAACACGGGTTCGTTCGAATGTTGTTCCTCAAGGCTTGCCCCCGGTTGCTCCAGCGACCTCCGATGGGAACATCGTCGCCGAGCACGCCGCAATCTTGGCCCTGTGCGCAGCCGAGTTCGGTTTCTGGGTCATGGTCGCGGACCTGGGGACCTCGTACATGTGGCGTTTGCCAGACATGTTGCGCCTCTTGGAGTTCGGATTTTTGGACTGCACGTTCTCCCCCTGCCAGTGCGGGGCAGATTTCGACAGGCCCACTCGCTTGAGGTGTTTTTCTTTGACGCCTCCGAGCATGCGCCGGCGCTGCCAGTGGGTCCAGGACACGGGCGCCTACAGTTGCGGCCGGTCGGAGGCGTGGCCACACCTCAGCTTGAGTTACAGCTCGTACGGCGACGACTGCGCCAGGGAGCACGCCGACGGAGCGGCGGAGGCTTGGGCCACCGACATCCCGGCTTGGGGCGCCCAGCGCCCAGAAGCACTGTCCGCAGGGGCGCCGGGGCAGGATCCTTTCGACAGGCGCCAGGTGCACGCGCACCCTCTGCGTGTGCCATTCGTGCCTTCCGCACGCGAAGTCCGGTCTCAGGAGGGCGCTCGCTGCGCGGCTGGCTTGCGCAATCCGGAAGGAGTGGTGAGAAAGTGGGTCGAATTGAGGGCGCGTCTACACCCGGTTCGGCAAGCCTTGCTGGCCGCCCGGGGGCGGGTCGCTGACCTGCAGCTGCTGTCGAAGGCCTGTGGGGAATCACCTGCGAGACCGCCGCCTGCCACCGCGGCGATCCGGCACGCCCGCGAGCTTGTGTCTGCAGCGCTGGGTCTGAGCCAGCGAGAGGGTGAGATGACTCGTCCGGCGTCGCCTCTGCACGGCCCCATCTTCGATGCGGTCTGCAAGCGCTCCGGGGACTCGGACGTGCACGTCGCCCCGTGGATCCTTGAAGGCGCGCCGATGGGCATCGAGGAGCCTGTCCGCCCAGGGGGGCACTTCCCTGCTCGCGAGTCCCCGGCGGCGCGCAGCCCGGAAGCGTTGCAAGAGGCGTACGTGTACCAAGGCAATCACGTCTCGTTCAGCGCTCAGCGGGGCGAGGCGGAGGCGCCGACGCCCCCCCTGATCAGGGAGTACCTCGAGGCGGGCTATGGTGAGATATTCTCGTCTCAGCAAGCTGCCGAATCTGCTTTGGGACACGTTTGCTACCCCGCGCCACTGGGCAATGTCCGTCGCCCGAAGAAGTCTGGAGGGTGGAAGAACCGGATCATCCAGGATCTCAAGGTGAACTTTGTGAACGCCGCCTCCAGCACGCACGAGCGAACCGTGCTCCCCCGCGGCATCGACCATGCCGTGGACATTGCCACTTTGGCGCAACGTCATGAGTCCATGGTCGTCCTTATACTGGACTTTTCGGACGCGTTCACGGCAGTACCTCTACATGATCGCGAGCGGCCGTGCAATTGTGCTGCTGTGCGCGGGTTGTGCGAGGAGGGCGTGGAGCACTTCATAGTGCGGCGCGTGCTGGGCTTCGGCGGGAAGTCGAATCCTCTTGTATACTCCCGCGTTTGGTCCTTCGCTGCGCGGACAGGGCAGGCCCTCCTGGACGGGGGGCGTTCTCGTCTTCAGCTGTACGTTGACGACCCGGAAGTTGTCGTGAGCGGCCCCGAGGAGGTCTGCCGGCAGGAGACGGACATATTGCTTTTATGGTGGCTTTGCTTGGGCTTCAAGCTGTCCTGGTCAAAGGGTTCATCAACGATGTCTGGTCCGCCAGTCGCCCGGCAGGCTCCGAAGGAGGGCCCCATCGGCATGGGCGGTGACGCTTTGATCCACGATTGGGTCGGCATCCGTTTTGCCCTGCGCGGCGCGACAGCAGTCATGGGCCTCACCGCCGAGTGCGTGGAGTCCACCAGGCTGGCGCTGGCCCCATTTCTCCAGCGGTCGGGCCAGGCCACGCTGGCGCAGGCTCGCACTGCGGTCGGCAAGGCGGCTCGCGTTGCGCAAGTGATCCCGGAGGCGACGCCCTTCGTCGCAGCGCTCTGGGGGGCTCTTGCCGGCTCCCTGCGGGCGGCAGCACGGGGGGCGTCCGAGGCGGCACCTGGGAAGGTGGCCGTCGTGCGCTACTTTGCGGCAGCTGGCTGGCTGGATGCCGTGTTGCGCGAGCCTCAGCGCGATGGCGCCAACTGTGGGACGCTGTTCCCCTTGGTCAGGACGATCCATCATTTCACACCTGGGGGGCGGCCTAGCGCAGCCGTCCGTGTCGAGTTCGACGCGTCGCCGTGGGGCGGAGGGGCCGTGCTCGCCCAGGGCACCACGATTCTTGTGTATTTTTCGATCGAGTGGGATGGGCACATTTTAACACATTTCGGTGCCGAGCTTGCCAACCCGAGGTGGCAGACTGTATGGGAAATGTTGACTTTGCTGTTATCTCTACTTGTGTGGGGTACCCACGCGGAGGAATTTTCTCTTACACTGCACGGGGACAACATCGGTGCCCTTCAAAATGCACTGTCTCTCAAAGGCCACGGGCACCTGTTGGCCATCGCTCGAGAAATTGCTTGGCGAAAAGCCCGTTTCTGCTGGGAATTCGACGTGGTGCACCTGCCCAGCGAGTTGAACCAGGTCGCGGACGCCTTGTCCAGGTTGACGGCGGCGCCGCCGAAGACCTTCCCGAAGGTCTTGCAGGAGCATCGCGCGCGCCGCCGCGAGGTGCCATGCTGGAACGAAGTCTGGCAGGCTTGGGTGGGAAGTTCCCCGCCCAAGCAGGCTGCCAGAACGTGATGGCACCTGGGTCTGGGGATTGGTTGCCCCTCCAGGCCCAGATGTTGCACGGACCTCGGCCCGGCAGGCTTGGGCGGGAAGTTCCCCGCCCAAAGCGGGCTGCCAGGGCGCGAGCGTGTTGGGCCCGGAGGTTCGGCTCCCCTCCCAGCCCGGTTTCGGCGAGGAGTTCCCGCCTAGCTCCGCGCGGCCAGTGCGGGCGACTCTCGGGTGATAGTCTGCCCGGGGATTGGGGGAGCCAGTCAAGGCGACTGGATTCCTTCTCCGGGCAGTTTGGTGCACCCAGAACTCGCACAAGCCATAGGGGTGCGATTTATTTTCTCCGCTACACTGCAAGAGGGGCGCGATTTATTTTCTCCGCCGCCCATTGGATTGCGCGCCGCGTGGCAAGAGGGGTGTGATTTATTTTCTCCGCTGCCCAGCAAAACTAATATCACCGTCCTCTATCCGCCCTCCTCGTCCTTCTCTCCTCGCCCTCCCTCCCTCCTCGTCCTCCCTTTCCTCGTCCTCTCTCCCCCCGGCCCTCCAGGCAGCATGCGACTGGAAGTGGTCGCGGAGGTAAGGAGAGATTGCGGACCGGCTTCGGGTGGGAGTCTGCCCGGGAATCGGGGGAGCTGGTCGATGTGACTGGATTCTTTCGCAGGGCGGATTGGTGCACCCAGAAGGAATTCATTGTCCTCTGTCCGTCTCCCCCCCCTCCCTCTCGCCCCTCCTGCCTTCTCCCTCCCCTCTCTCGCCCTCTCCCCCTCCGGTTCCAGGCAGGATGCGATTGGAGGTGGTCGCGAGTAAATTGCCCTCGAAAGCATATCCGGGGGATGCCAGCCCATCCTCAACATTTCCAGCGCGGACGTTGGTATCTTCCGTCCGTGCGGGCCCCTCATCTCCTCTGTGCGCCAAGGCGGCCGCTTTCTCCCAAGCCAGGCTCGCGCCCTACCCGCGCCGCCCCAGCCGAATGCACGTGCGCAGGCCGCGGCATGATCTCGCCGAGGCCGTTCCGGGCCGCAAGCGGCAGAGGGGGAATTCGGCGGTGGGTTCACCTCCCTCGGGTACTTCTCCCACTCTTCCAGGGCCTGCCAGTGCCTTAGAGATTGGCCGAGTGGGCTCTCTGACCCAGGGGGGTGCATCATTAAGGTCAGGGGAGTTTGGTTCTCTCCCTTACCCTGGGCTGCGGGCTGGAACTCCAGGGAGGCAGGGATACGAGAGAGGGTCTGTGCCCGATTTGTCGAGTGCCCGCCGCCGCGACGTCGCCCTCACGGAGTACGACGGCGCGGTCTACGCCCTAGGCACCATGACGGCGCAGTGCTCGATCCTGCGCACCGTGGTCCGGCTCCTCGAGTTTTGGGGCCTCCCCCTACTCCCTCTTACGAGGCATGCAGTGCGGTGTTTGGGAGCGTCCTTGAAGGCAGGCAGGCACCGGTCTGCAGCGCAATATTTGTCTGCCGCCAAACGAGCGGCTGAGCGGAGTGACCAGGTCCTATCACCATCGGTGTTGTGTGCCTTACGCGATGCCAGAAGGGCTTGTGAGCGTGGTTTGGGACCTCCCCACAAAGTCGAAGGCCTCCCGATGGACATGCTGGCGGCCCTGCCTGATGGCGACGCACCGTGGGCTGCTGGCGGGCCGTTGGCGCCGAAGCGCGCCATCATCGGTGGGACGTGGTGGCTTTGCCGTGAGACCGAACTGTCCAACGCCAGAGCGTGCTTGACAGCATTTACCGGCAGTCCAGACAACCTCGTGGCCGCTTGGTGCTTACCCGTATCCAAAGCCGACCAGGGGGCTCACGGCCAGGAGCGTAAGCACGGATGCGCATTCAACGCAGGCAGGTTCGGTCGCATGTGTCCTGCACACACCCTTTGGCGCCAGAGGGCCGCGCTCCGCAGCTGGTTCCCAACGCGCCACGATGCCGCAGGCGTTCCGTTCGTCGACCTACCGTTGTTTCCGGGCGCCGACGGCAGCCCGTGCACGAAAAACGGCATCACGGCAACGATCCGGGCAGCTGCGGCGCACATGGGATTGCCAGCCCGGTCAACCGACGGTTTAAATTGTTGGACTGGGCATTCGCTGCGGGTGTCAGGCGCACAAGGGCTCTCTACGGTCTTGGATACTTGGGCTACTCAGCTGCTCGGGCGATGGGGTTCGTTGTCAGTGCTGGAATACGTCCGCACCGCCCCTCTTCAATCATCCTCCACGTGGGCTCGAAGGGCTTCGTGCGGCGCGCCCTCAGAGGACCGGCCGTCGACCGCGACCCTGGAGGACCTTGCGGCGGCGCTCTCGTCGGAGCGTCCAGGACGCATCAGCGGAGTCACGTTCGACCACCCTGGAGACGTTAGCACCCAGTTGAATTCGTTGCAGGTGCGCCTGGGGTCCCTTGAGGAAGGGATGCAGCACCTGCGGGCCCTCCTGCCTTCGGAAATACAAGCGCTACGGTCGCCAGAAGTTGCTGCCGTCGCCGCGCCTGCCGGGCCGCCGATGGTACTAAACACCCGGTCTGGCATCGTCCCTTTGGTGCTGGTAGACCCACCGGGGCCAGTGGGCGCCGGGGAGGCGCGTTGTTCGTGGCTGTTCGAATTGGGCTCCACGGCCCAGCCTGTGCACACGCTGCCTGCGCTGCACAAGGACCTTTGCGAGCGCTGCTTTCCCCAGTACAGGGGCGAACGCAAGAAAGCGCTGCGCGATCCGAATACAAATGTCGGCGAGCCATCGGGGGATATGGTGTCTCTGGCCATTGGTACCCCGGTTGGGGCTGGCCAGGGCTCTCCTCCCGGTGGCGTTGGCTCATCGCCGCCAGCAGAAAAAGTGGGCCGGGTGGGCGGTCCGACATAGCAAGGTTGTTGTGCCGGATCCGCAGGAGCAGAAGTAACAACCAGGTGATGTCTTGGGGGGAGGGCGGGAAGAGAGAGTGGGCGATTAGCACGTGTGCGAATGCCGCGCCGTGGCCGTTTTGGCTTCAGGCGCGTCGCACATTTCGCCTTCCCCACCCACCCACACCTGGTTGATTGTCTCTTCGCCCACCCGGCCATTGGTTCGTAGACGCTTCCTGGACCCAGGCTGAATTAGTTGCATGACTGCCCTAATTTGTGGCCGATCGATCGTGGACTGAAGTCTGCTCGTCCAACGTCCAGGGGGATATGGTGTCTCTGCCCATTGGTACCCCGGTTGGGGCTGGCCAGGGCTCTCCTCCCGGTGGCGTTGGCTCATCGCCGCCAGCAGAAAAAGTGGGCCGGGTGGGCGGTCCGACATAGCAAATTGTTGGACACTGACCCCGCCGATCTGCGTGAGGGGTGTCAATTTTTAGCCACCCCAGCAATTCAGACAACACGCTCAGGGCGTGCTACACCTGCCCGTTTGGGCCTCCCCCCCGTCGCGTGGTCCATCAACAAGGAACAGTAAGCAGCAAGACGCAGAACTGTAACAGTCGAAACTGGAAGCTGCAACTGGCACAGGAAACTGCGAAGCTTCGGCCTACAGCCTGGTGGCCCCACAAGGGGGCCGACGGATATCATAGAGATGTTCGGGTCGGACGCGCACCTTTAAGGAGGACGGACATATAGTACTAGTGTGCCTCTGTGCGGCCCATTCCCCCCTGGTCGCGCCGCGGACCCTTCTCTCTCTCTCTCTCCCTCCCTCTCTCTCTCTCTTTCTATTTGATTTTGGCGAGCACTTCTTTCCCAGCTGCGGGACACGCCTTCTCGCTGCCGACTCCATCCTACTCCCGCGAGGGGGCCGCATGCGAACCCTACCCCACCACCCCACGATTTCTAAGGGGGGGGAGATAGGGTTCATTTCGCTGGCGAGGTCCCGAATGAAGTGAATCCCACCTCCACCCTGAGAAATCGTGGGGTGGTGGGGTAGGGTTCGCACGAGGCCTCCTGTCCCGCTCCCGTCTGTCCAATTCGCGCCCCCGCCCCTCCGGCTTCTGACCCAGGCCCCGGCCCGCCCGCGCTGCCCTCGCAGTGGCCGATCTCCGTCGGATCGGCGGTGCCCTCGTTCGCTCGCCCGCTCGCGTCTCTCCAAGATCCGCCTAGCTCTGCTCAGACGCATGAGACCTTTCGAGGACGGCCCAGGCGTCAGGCGATCGCAACCATGGATCAAGGATGCATGGATTAGCGACGGGTCCCGTTCCCATGGGGAACCGCGGTTTTCCGCCGCCGAGCGAGGCGGCTCCGGCCGCATTTTGGGGACTGCCCCTCCCCCGATCCATGGATTTGGCGACCGCGCGCCGAATCCGTGGATCGCGAATCCATGCTTGCGCGCCCCCGAAAGCGGGGCAGGGCCCGCCAGTGAGCGCTCGCAGACGACGCCGAGAGAGCCCTGGGGGGCTCGGGCGCAGGGCTGGAAAGTCGCGTGACTGAGTCACCCCAAGGGTTAAGTCGGGCCCGTCCCTCTACAGGAAGGATATTCAAAAATGGTAAAAAAATAGTCGAGGGACGATTTTTGAAGTATTTTAGGGCATCTTTTGAGTATTTGTCTTTAGTATTTCTTAATGTTTCGTCCAAAATCCCCCTGTAGGGTGACAGGCCCGACCTAACCCAAGGGGCGCGAAGATGGTCACGAGTCGTTCGTCGTGGCCTGGGCAGAGGAGCTGCCCTTGTCCAGGAGGCGGCGCGGGGGCGCGGAGGGAACCTCGGGGCGCGCACCGGGCATCACGGTTGTGCGTGCGCGTGCCATAACGCAGTTCTTGGAACTTCAGCCGCACAGATCCGGGGGGGGTCCCCGACGACGGACCGGGAAAGGGGGGGGTCCCCGACGACGGATCGGGGAAAGGGGGGGGGCGGAGGGGGTAAGTTTGATAAAACCGTGTGTGTGTGTGTACTACCTCGGTTTTTGGTCTATTACTTCTTCTGTACTTGCTTTCTTGTTGATTATGCTTTTCGTCATCTCTAAAGGGATTGCTCAAAGTAGCGGAATGCATAATGATTCCTTTTGCAGCAAACTTTAAATTGATTCCTTTTTATGGCGAATTACACAGGGAATTCTTTTCGTGGAGAATTACAAATTGTTTCCT